TAAAGGCCATATATGAGAGACCTACAGCCAACATCATACTCAATGTTCAAAAGCTAAAAGTTTCCCCACTAAGATCAGGAACAATACAAGGATGTCCACTTTCACCTCTCGTATTCAACATAGTATTAGAATACATAGCAATCAGACAACAAAAAGAAATAAAAGACATACAAACTGGAAAAGAGGAAGCAAAGCTGTCATTGTTTGCAGTTGACATAACAATGTACCTAGAAAATTCTGTAGACTCCACCAAAAAACCACTTGACTTATTAAGTGAATTTGGTAAAACAGCGGGTTACAAAGTCAGTATTCAGAAATCAAAGGCATTTTTGTACACCAATAAGGAAATATCAGAAACAGAAATCAGGAAACAAATCCCATTTGATATAGCAAGAAGAAAAATAAAGTACCTAGGAATAAACCTAACCAAGGAGGTAAAAGACCTGTACTCAGAAAACTACACAACACTGAAGAAAGAAATCAAAGAAGACACAAACAAATGGAAGCATGTACCATGTTCGTGGCATGGAAGAATTAACATCATCAGAATGTCCATACTACCAAAAGCAATTTATAGATTCAACACAATCCCTATTAAAGAACCAATGAGATATTTCACAGATATAGGACAAACATTTCAAAAATTTATATGGAACCATAAATGACCCCAAATAGCTCCAGCAATTTTGAGAAAGAAGAGCAAAGAGGAATCACAATAGTTGGTATCAAACTGTATTACAAGGCCACCATAATCAAAACAGCTTGGCACTGGCATAAGAACAGACACATGGATCAATGTAACAGAACAGAGAGCCCAGAAATAAACCCAAGTCTCTATGAAGTAAAAAAAAGCCTCTTCAACAAATGGTGTTAGGAGATCTGGACAGCTACATGCAAACAAATGAAACTCAATCACCAACCTACACCATACACAAAAATAGATTCAAGATGGATAAAAGACTTGAATATAAGTCATGACACCATAAAAGTCCTAGAGGAAAACATCAGCAGGAAAATCTCAGATATTCCATGCAACAATATGTTCACTAATATGTCCCCTAGAGCAAGGGACATAAAGGAAAGAATAAACAAATGGGATCTCATAAAAATAGAAAGCTTTTGTATGTCTAAAGAAAACAGCATTAAAATGAAAAGAGAACCAACTGTATGGAAAAAATATTGCCAATGATACCTTGAACAACAGTTTGATTTCCAAAATAGATAAAGAACTCACATAACTTCACTCCAGGAAGACAAACAACCCAATTAAAAAATGTGCAAAGGACATGAACAGACACTTCTCCAAAGAGGACATACAGAGGGCCCAGAGACATATGAAAGGATGTTCAGCATCAGTAGCCATTAGAGAGATGCAAGTTAAAACCATATCTCACGGTAATAAGATACCACCTCATACTAGTTAGAATGGCCATCATAAACAAATCAACAAAAGAAGTATTGGAGAGGATGTGGAGAAAAGGGAACCCTAGTGCACTGTTGGTGGCATGCAGACTGGTAAAGCCACTGTGGAAAACAGTATGGGATTTCCTCAGACATGACATGTAAACCAATGGGATAGAATAGAGGCCAACATAAAGTCTCACATGCATGGTCAAATGACTTTCGACAATGGTGACAAGATCATCTTTTCAACAAATGGTAGTTGGAAAAACTGGATATCCACACACAAAAATAAAGTGGGACCATTCCTTGTACCATATTTAAAAATTAACTCATAGTAGATCATAAACCTAACCATAAGAGCTAACACTATAAAACTCTTAGAAGCTCTGTGACATTGGATTTGGCAATGATTTCCTGGATATGGAAACTAAAAAAGATATGTTAAACTCAATAAAAATGTAAAAATTTTATGCGTTAAAGGACACAATCAATGAGAGTAAAAAGGCAACCCTTAGAATAGGAGAAAATATCTGCAAATCACCTACCTGATACAAGATCGATATCAATCATGTATAAGGAACTACTGTAACTCAACAACAAAAAACTCAATTAAAAACTGAGCCAAGCCCTGGCTGGTGTAGTTCAGAGGATTGAGCACGGGCCTACGAACCAGACAATCACGGTTCGATTCCCAGTCAGGGCACATACCGGGTTGCAGGCCGGTTCCCTGCACGCCAGTTCCCAGCAGGGGATGCACAAGGGGCAACCATACATTGATGTTTCTCTCCCTCTCTCCTTCCCTTCCCCTCTACAGATAAATAAATAAAATCTTTTAAAAAATTGAGCCAACTATCTAAAAACATTTTTCTAAAGAATACAAATGAACGGCCAGTAAGCACATGAAAAAATACTCCACATCATTAATCATCAGGGAATTCAAATCAATACCTCAATGTGCTATTATCACCTTATACTCATTAGAGTGGCTTTTTATCAAATAAACAGAAAACAAGTGTGGGCCAGGATGCCGAGAAGTCAGATTGCCCACAAGAATGTAAAATGGCGCAGCTGTGAAAAACACAGCAGTTTCTTAAAAACTTTAACATAGACCAACCATATAGTCCAGAAATGCCACTTCTGGGTGTGCACCTCACCCCTGAGGGACTGGGACAGGTATCTGCACACCAACATTCGTGGCAGTGTTACTGACGTGCAGCTAAAGAACCTAAATGCCCATTTCGGCATGGCTGGGTAAACAAAATGGGGTGTGACATTTATGGACAATCGAAAATTAGTCAGCCTTCCTTAAAGAGGGAAATTCTGACATATGCTGTAACACAGATAAATCTTGAAGACATTAGACTAACTAAAAGCCAGTCACAAAAGGACATATGCTGTATAATCCTATTTATCTGAGGTCCCAAGAGTAGTCAAATCCATAGAGACGCAAAGTAAAATGCAGGTTGCCAGGCCCCACAGAGAGGGAGCATAGGGCACTGGTGGGGAACCAGGGCAGGGTCTCAGCTTGGCGAGATGGAAAGGTTCTGGAAATAAGTGGTTGGCGATGACCACACAACAGTGTGAAGGTGCTTAATACCAGAGCTGTACACTTAACAGTGATTAAAATGGTTAATCTTATATCTTACCATTTCACAAATGAAGTGATTTCATTTCACATAATGAAATAATTATGTTATACTCAGGAAAAAATTCCATATTTAAGAACGCTTCAGAGTCATATTCCTGGCATTAGCCTCCCTACTGGCCCTCCCCTACCTCCGTCCCAAAGTGCTGACTCATCTGAATAATTCCATCCGCCTGCAAAAATTGTGGCTAATAATTTCCTAGCTTGTTTTGTGATTAGGACTGCCAGATTTAGTAAATAAAAAAACAAGACACTCCATTATACAAAGAGGAGCCAAACGAACCTAGTCTTTATTTATAAAAATTGTGTATTTATTCTTAGATATTTAAACTTCAGTCACCTTCAAAGTACTCTCCATTGGATGCGATACACCTATCGAGATGTTTTTCCTACTGCTTAACAGTTTTTAACTCATTCTGATGCATTTTAGTACTTCTGCCACTTTATTGTTTCACCTCTTCCAGATCAGCAAAATGTTTCCCACTGAGGACTTTAAAAAAAAAAAAGATAATTCCAATATCAAGTACAAGGTTTCCCCCTTGTACTTGAATTTACAATTAGAAATTTTTATGTAGACAATGAATATTTTAATTTAAGTATTTCCTATGCAATATTTTGGATATGCGATACTGAAAAAACTATTACTTGTTTATCTAAAATCCAAATTTACTGAGTGCCTGCGTTTTATTTGTCTATCCAACAGTTCCTGTGATCCGTGTGTGCTGCTTATTCAACACCATGAAGAGCTACTTTTATTCATGTATCAATTTCTTATTGATGTTTAACTCATTGATACATTAGTCAGCATAATTATTCTCATTATTACATAAGAAATCAGGTTAATTATTCACACTCCTGCTTTTTTATCACTTCCAATTTTTTCAAGTAATGTTAAGATACTTTCTCTCTCCAAATCATTTAAACACATTTTGAATACTGAATGTATGTACCATACAGCACCTTTTGGTAGTACCTTGAAAAGTCATCAATTTAAATTTTATAATTACAAAAATCCTTCTGTCTTACAGACATGGGCCTATCCACATACAAGAGGGGACCTCAAAACCAGGAATTATCTTCTGGAGGGTGGGCCCCTTGTAGTACAGGCTTCCCCGCTAGGTGAGTGTTCCAGGAACCCATCTGTATCAGTGTGCCAGCTGGTGCTGTTGTGAGAGGCTGTATTTGGCTTCACTGAATTTTCTTTGAAGACTCAACCAGTTTGCCCATTTCATGATGGGTGATATACGAATGCACCTGCCCACACCACAGAGTTCAGCAGTTTTTGACCAAAACCAGCACAAACCCCATGCCCCACCCTCCCTATTCACCCCATCTCGCTCTGAGCAACTTTTTTTGGTCTCCCCAGATGAAAAACTTCCTCAAAGGGAAATGGTTTGTGGATATGGATGAGATGAAACAAAAAATGGCAGAACCACTAAAAGGCAGCAAAATCAAAGGTCAAAAACTATCTTGAGCAGTGGAACAATGTCTAGACAACAAGTGTATTGCATCCAATGGAGAGCACTTTGGAGGTGACTGAAGTTTAAACACGTAAGGATAAACACACAATTTTGTATAAGTTCGTTCTGGGATTTTGGAGGGAGGGACACCCTCATATGCTCCTCCCGGCGTAGAACTGTGCCACTGGGCTACGGGACCCAGACGGGTATTTTTAGTTATACCGAGTGCTGTGGTCTGGCCCTGGATACAGCCATGGAGCCTTCACACCTGCCTGCCTGTCAGCACTTGTTGCCTCAGACAATGCTGAGACAGACAAACCTTTGGAGGGACTGCCGCAGGCCCGTCCGATTTCAGGTCACAGGCAGCAGGAAAGAATGTGTTCTTGTGTTGAAAGGGGCTGTGAGCCCCTTGGTCTGAGACCTAATCAGGACTAGTGACTACCTGTAGGAAGACAGGCAAAGATCAAAGCGGGGGTCTGACTTGCTTTTACCTGGAGGGGCACCACCCTGGACATCAGGTGGTCAAAATAAAGGTCCACTGCTTCGGTGAAGCCCTTGTAAGTTGTCCTCAGCCTCATGCCAGAATCTTGCAGTAACCAGCTTGAATACAAAAGGGGGTTTGGTGGTGATTAGTCCCACAGTTGGTGAGTTTGCTCGGTAGGGTGAGGGTGCAGTGGAAAGGGAGCGGCCTCAGGCCCTCCGCTCGGCCAGAAGAGCAGGTTATTCCAGGGACCACAACACAGAGGCACGCGGCCCAGCCCCAGCCCCGGATGCATGCAGCTAGGCCTCCTGACTGCAGACACCAGTCCTGTGGGCGACTCGGGTTCTCCTTCGTGGCGACAGGTCTGGCAGCTGAGCAGAGTGAGAAGAGCTTCCCACTGGACACCAGGCCCCGTTTTCGAGCTTCCCCTCCAGTCTCATGACAAAGGCATTAGGCCAGGACAGGAGGACAGAGAGGCAGCCCCCTGCACCGCCCAGAAACACTGCGGGGAAACAGGCTGCTTCTCCTGCTCGGCCCCAGGCGCTGTTCGTGCTGGCCTGGCTCATCTGCATCATTTGCATCAACTGTTCAGAGCTCAGCTAGGGAATAGGGGCCGGGTGAGCTGAGTGAGAAGGTTAATTCTTCACACCCCAGATGAACATGGGGCATTCGTTCCAGAGCAGGACTCAACGACTTCGATCTCATTTGAAATTCTGTAAAAAGACTTAATACGTTCTTACAAAAGGTCCTGATTTGTAAGTTCTGCACAGGGTCAGAACAGTATCAATTAGTGTTATGTCAGAACAGGTGAAGACAAGGGAGTCTCCCCAGGGGGAGATCCCCACTTTCCACCTCACCTGGAACAGGTCCAGCAAGGTCTCCTCCCCATTGGCAGTCCACCTGCTGGCAGGTGCTCCCCTCTGCCTGCCAGGGTCTGCCTACTGGCCCATCCCCCATGCAGCCAGGACCTGAATGGACAGGGCTGCACAAGAAGGTCTGAGTGCTGGACGCCTTGTTGCTTCTGAGCAAAATAAGCCTTAAATCCTGTCCACCTGCCCCACTCTGGCTGAGCCGGAGATTTCTCACTGACACGTGGTTTTCTAATCCCCAGGTGTGGGGAAGGCCACTCCGGCTGTGCTCACAGCCTTGCTGAGTGCACCTTGCCAAGCTGAATGGCACAGCGATAGAGAAGTGATCCCGGGTGGTGAGGAGATGGAGATGGAGACAGGGCCTGGCAGGGCCCCTTGGGGCAGGGCTTGTGGTGCTGGAGACAGAGACTAAAAACAAGGCGGAGGTGGGGGCTGCGCCAGGGGAGTGGGGAGCATCCTGCAGGAGACGGCATGGTCCACGGGGTCAGCCATCCCCCTTAGGGTGTGCAGGGTGGAGGAAGAGCAGATCTAATTGCCCGGAACGTGGTGAGGATGGGAAAGACTACCCCTACTAACAAGAGCATCTTTCATGAAACCGAAGGCGACACTGAGGAGGACAAGGGGTGAATGTGGGCGGTGCCAGTGGCCTGACTGAGGGCTAGACTCAAGGCAGAGCCCTGCACCTGGGGAGGCACAGAGCCTGGGGGTGGCCAGCCCTCTGCTGCTGCCTCCACATGAGCAACAGAGGGACTGGATAAGGACAATGACAGTAATGTCATTTCAAATGGCCTCCTTTGGGCACTACTCACAGCCCCACTCACCTGGGCAAGCCGCCGAGGTCTATCTCACTGCAGATGTAGGGGCCTGGACGCAGAATCACCCACAGCCCAATCTCAGCAGCCATCAGGACAAAGGCCCTGGGAAGGTCAAGGTCAGATACTCTCAGGACACCCCTACAGAGGGTGGGGACCAGCCCAGCACTCACGCCTGCCTTCTCCTCCAAAACACAGATGGGGTAAGACAAGGGAAAGCCAAGCCCTGCCCCCAGCACTGCAGGGAACCCCACACTGGTGGTCAAGGCCACAGGCCCTGGCAGCTGGTTTCTCACTGGCTCTCAGCCTAGGACCATCTGCACAGCCCACTGGGTCATGAGGAGGAAGGTGTCACACAGGGGACAAGAGTCCTAACAATGAACTGACCCCAGTGGCCTTGCTGCCCTCCAGGGGCAATCCCTGTCCCAGCACAGGGGGCTGGACCCCATGGCACAGCAGGGCTGACAGGGGACCAGGCACCTCTAGGCTGCAGTGAGCAGCAGGGGCTCGGAGGAGGTGGGCCCGGACACCCGGGGGAATCAGCACAGCTGAGGAGCATCGGGTCCTGGGTGTGGAGCCCGTCAGTGTCCAGAGCACAAGGCTCTGACCCCCGTGTCAGTCTGGTTCTCCGAGCAGAGCTGAGAGGCCACCAGGGTCCCTAATGAACCCCAGCCAGCCCCATCCTGCCTCCCAGGCCCTGGGCAGGTCACAGCAGCAGCAGCAGCACGTACTCCAGGTCCAGGTTCCCGGAGAAGTCAAATGTGCCCCGTTGTGGCTCGTGGAGGTTCCATGGGACATAGCTGGAATAGGAGAGACCATTTAAGGCATGACTTTTTCGTTGATTCCACTTCATCTCCCAGTTGACCTTCTTTGTCCCTAAAAGCCCCTGTGACAGTTGTAGATGTATATCTAGGCACACTGTCTCGGTGACATCAGGACTGGGACCGAGAACTAAGTGCAGAGAAGAGGGGCCGTGGAGCACCCAGGGCCAGCCCCTGGGGGACTAGGAGCTCCCTTCGGGGGGGGAGGGGGGTCTGCCAACAAGATGTGAAGACGTGGCTGGAGCACAAGGCACGACCACAGGGCCACTGGGGCTGTGCTGCCCTCCTCCCACTCTCCTGCCCTGTCTGTCTCCACTGGAGAAAAAAGGAACTTCACAGGAAAAATAGTTAAAAGTAGAGAAGAGAACACAATTATCAGTCCTATTTTTCATGAAAGCACCAAACTCCAAACCCTGTATCAGAATGGAGCTTCTAACTCTAAAGAGATGAGGAAATAAAGCAAGTGCTCTATGGGGCAGACTCGGGAGGCAGAGGTATGGAGTGACCCAGTGACTGGTGATGGTGGTGATGACAGCCGCTCCTCTCCTGGACTCTCAGCCCCCGTGGCTGGCGGGGTAGGGGGGTGCCCCAAGTGCAAAGACTGTGCAGGTAAAGCGGAAAGGGAGCTCACCTGCTTGGGGCTCAGACCCAACGGCTTAAGCAAAGGCAGACTTTCCTGCTTCCCTAAGGCAGAACAGCTGCCCTGCACATTCCCACAGGTACTAGGAGTTCTATGAGGTGTGCATGTACCCCCAGGATCAGAATGTACATACGCAAATAAAGACCCTTGTAAGGATTCTAGAAAGTCACACACATTTGTTTCAACTACATTGTCACAGCTCAGAATACTCCTGTAGCTCTTTTCAGAAACTCCTCAAAGCCAGTTCAAAAACCACCCAAAAAATCCATGTCCTTGATTTGTCATTACACTGGCGCCTGAAGACAGAATATAGCCTGATAACCCACTTTATTTCCTAGACTTGGATCCAAAACCTGCTGGCAATGTTGAAAAACAAATCCACGGGAAGATCTAAGTGTGCTCGCCGTGAGCCTGTGTTAAGCTACCTCTCTGTGTGGGGTGCTGGAACGGGCACTTCGGCACCGGAGACAATTCTGGAAGGAACGCTGCAAACTGCTGCGGGCAGCTGCTTTGAAGAAGGCTGCACTCATTTCTGTATAAACTGGGGGTGGGGTGCTTGTTTACAAAAATGACTTAAAAACTCAATCACGTCCTACATCTATACTGCCCTCTCTGCTCGCCCTGCGCACGCCAATGCTCTTGTTGGTCCCAGACTCATTTCCAGTGCCTGTCTCTCATGGTCACCAGTAGGGACGAGTGGGGAGTGCTACAGGGAGCAGGAAGGGCAACTGTCTTCCTGTTGGAGGATGCGGGGGGTCTAGGCTCTGCCAGGGCTCGCCCACCCTGCCTGGCGGGCTGGAAGCCCCTGGGCTGGGCTCCCACAGAGAAGCCCAGACCCAGGCTGGAGCCCCATGGCGAACGGGCTTGGGGGCGGGGTGGGCAGCACTCACGTGGTGAGGGTGTTCAGGCCACAGGCTTTCATCTTCATCAGGCGGTCCCTCCAGTAAGCCTTGGGCACCCGAAAATAGTGCACAGAGCCCCCAAAGATCCAGAAGGTGGAGTCCTCCAGCATGAAGTTCTGGCCCTGGGTGTGCAGCCCGGATTGCCGGCGTCTCCGCCAGGGAGAGAGCAGATGGTGCCAGTCCAGCCTGCAAAAAGCAAAGGCATCCGGGAGGCCCGGAGGCTCACCTGCAGCAGTAGCAGGGGCACCGCAGAGGCAGGCTTCCTCTGCTCCTCCGAGGGCCCTCAGCTGCTCTTTCTCAGGAGGGCCTGTTTCCAGGGCCTTTAGAAAAAGCTCCCATCCTCTGCCTTAGCCCAGCCTTGCAAGGAGACTTGCTTCAGTGCCATTGACTCATCCCGTGGGCTACCAAGGAAGCCCAAGCTGAGGCCGCGCTCAGGAACCAGACAAACAGGACACCGGACAGGGAGACAGTGCTAACAGGAGGGGGACGAGTTGGGTGCACAGTGCAGGGGAAGTGCTCATGAGCCGAGAAGCTGCCTTCAGGAAAGGGGGATCTGGGGGGGCCTGGGGAGGACCCAGGGGCAGTTCTGCAGGTCTCCTAGGCTTTGATGTTTTGACTAAACATCAAAGCAGAAACTATTTCAAATAGTACCTCTGAGCCACCTCATGGTCACAGCTTCTCGGCTTGAGGTGCAAATACCTGTAAGGAGGTACTCAGGTTAGAAACAGCATCTGTTCACTGACCGTTGCCAGGTCTTATCATCTAAAAAGCAAGTGTCTTTTTGGCTAAGAGATGATTCTGCATGACAGAAATCCCCACCTGGGGAGGCTGTGGAAAAGTTTTAGTCCCTGAAAAAGCACCTTTTGACCTCTCTCAGGCTGGCCGAGGGGAGCCTGGGACTCAGTGCTCAGTCTCCTGGAGGCCGTGAGAGAAAGCCAGTGAGAGAAGCTGGGGGAGCCAGAGGTACCAGCCTCAGAGTCCGGGAAACTCTGAGGCAGAAAACAACAGTGGGATTGAGTCTGGTACAAAAGCAAGTTTCTGCTGGTGCCTTTTCTATACCCACTTCTCCTTTTTTATTTTTACTTTTTAATATATTTTATTGCTCATGCTATTACAGTTGTTCCATTTTCCCCCTTTAGTCCCTTCTGTCCTGAACCATCCTCCCCAAGCATCCCCCCAACCTGAGTTCATGTCTGTGGGTGGTACATGTAAGCTCTTTAGCTTCTCCATTTCCCAGACTATTCTTAACCTCCCCCTATTTTGTACCTACCATTTATGCTACTTATTCTCTTTACCTTTTCCCTCCTTATCCCCGCTTCCCCTCCCCACTGATAACCCTGCATGTGATCTCCATTTCTGTTCCTGTTCTAGTTGTTCACTTACTTTGTTTTTGTTTTTAGGTTCAGTTGTTGATACTTGTGAGTTTGTTGTCATTTTACTGTTTATAATTTTGACCTTATTTCTTAGATAAGTCCCTTTAACATTTCATATAATAAGGACTTGGTGATGATAAACTCCTTTAACTTGACCTTATCTGGGAAGCACTTTATCCGTCCTTCCACTCTAAATGAAAGCTTTGCTGGATAAAGTAATTTTGGATGTAGGTCCTTGCCTCTCATGACTTGGAATACTTCTTTCCAGCCCCTTCTTGCCTGCAAGGTCTCTTTGGAGAAATCAGCTGATAGTCTAATGGGCACTCCTTTGTAGGTAATCGTCTCCTTTTCTCTTGCTGCTTTCAAGATTCTCTCCTTATCTTTCATCTTGGGTGACATAATTATGATGTGCCTTGGTGTGTCCTTCCTTGGGTCCAACTTTTTGGGGACTCTCTTAGCTTCCTGGACTTCCTGGAAGTCTAGTTCCTTTGTCAGATTGGGAAAGTTTTCCTTCAATATTTTTTCAAATAAGTTTTCAATTTCTTGTTCTTCCTCATCTCCTTCTGCAACCCCTATGATTTGGATCTTGGAACATTTGAAGTTTTCCCAGATGTTCCTAAGCCTCTCCTTATGTATCTGAATCCTTGTTTCTTCATTCTGTTCTAGTTAAATGTTTATTTCTTCCTTCTGGTCCAATTTGTTGATTTGAGTCCTGGTTTCCTTCGTGCCACTGTTGGCTCCTGTATATTTTGTTTTATTTCACTTTGCATAGCCCTCACTTCTTCCTCTATTTTGTGACCATGCTCAACCATTTCTGTGAGCATCCTGATTACCAGTGTTTTGAACTCTGCATCTGATAGGTTGGCTATTGATCGCTTAGTTCTGTTTTTGGAGTTTTTATCTGTTCCTTCACTTGGACCATATTTTTTTTTTGGTCTTGGAAAGATGGAGGCATGGGCAGATACACTTTGCCTCCTTGCATAACCAAAAGAAGGACAACAAATTTAAAAACAAAAAATAACTAGAACTGCCAGAAAATCAAACTGTATGGAAGTCCAACAACTAAGGAATTAAAGAAGAAACACACATCCAGACTGGTACAAGGGTGAAGACGGGCAGCAGGGATGGACAGGACTTGTGGAAAGGTGGTGGTTGGCCAACTGGTAAGTCCCACATTTTCAAGTAAATAAACTGGAAGAAAAAACTGGGGAGAGAGACAGACTGTGCAACCCGGGGTTCCAGCACAGGGAAATAAAGCCTCAAAACCTCTGACTAAAAAAACCTATAGGGGTTGAGGCAGCAGGACAAACTCCCAGCCTCACAGGAGGGTTTGTTGGAGAGACCCATAGTGTTCCAGAACATACATAAACCCACCCACCTTGGAATCAGCACCAGAAGGGCCCAATGTGCTTGTGGGTAGCAGGAGAAGTGACTGAAAGCTGGCATGGGGCTGTGTAAGCAGCATTGTTCCCTCTCTGACCCCTCCCACACACACACACACACAAGCCACAGTGTAGTGACTAGTTGCCCTGCCCTGGCGAATACCTAAGGCTCCGCCCATTACTGTGTAACCAGTACAGGTAGACCAAAAAAGAACCCACTTCTCATTACAGTTCCTGACATTAGAGGGCATCTGTCAGCAGGGCTCTTCTGCTTAAAAAAAAAAAAAAAACCCAAACCAAAAAACCCACCTCTCTCATTTGGTAACACGGGCTAAAATGGTACCACCGGGACATGTGTCTGGCTTAAGGCCCAGCTTAACCCATTCAATCAGTATTGATATACACTGATTGGGGACAGTCACCTCTTAGAAGAAACATGTGTGAACCAAGAGTAGGCTGAGAGCAGCAATCTTGATTCTGGATTCAACAACTTTCTGTGCCTATCAGAAGGGTGGCTCCTTCCCAAAGCTTCCATGTGGACTCACAGCAGGTGTCACGGGGACACAGGGCACATGCGAGTCACACCCCTGCTGCTGACTCTCTCAGTATGCACGGAGGTGCCCCATCATACCTGCTCTCTCTCCATCTAGGCCACCAGCACTGACACCCTGCGGGGTCCTTTCCCTACATAGCAGCCGGCTTCTCCTCTACCTACAATGCCAAGTGCTTCAGTGTGAACGTGAGCTTGCATGCCCTACCCTGTAAAGCAGCGAGAGCCATGCTATTAACGGCACCACCACTGTTACCAGCCTGTAGTGAAAACCCAGGGCAATATGCTCCTGCTCCTCAGGAAGCTCACTCCCTTCCTACCCGCATTTTCCCAAACCACACGTTATGGTCCTTACAAGGAGTTCTGATGCCAGAATCCTCCCTACCACCCTGCACACTCAGATCAGTACACTTCAGTGCCATGAGTACCGCTGCAAAGCACACACAGAGCTGTGACCAGGGCCAGGAGGAGAGGTGGCCAGGAGAGCAGCATGGGCCACAGCCACGGCTGACCATGTGGCCACTCATGGGCAGAGAGAACGTATGGGCTGCAAAGCCGCAAACATTTTCTATTGGGCCCTGTACCAGAAACCTTGCCACAGAGGATGAGGCCCCGGATACTGAAAGGAGGCATCAGGCCCCTGTGGCCACTGTCTGGGCCTCCTTCCAGCCACGACTTCATTCTGGTTCTTCCCACCTGGCTCCTTCCTTTGGCTACAAGCTCCTGACTAGTCTGGCTCTCCCACGCCTCATGCAAGGGAGAGTTCGTCTCCCTTAGTTTTGACCACAACTGTCAGGCCACACTCTGCCTTCCTGCTTCCTGTGCCCCTGCTTCCTGAGCCCCCCATGCAGTCCAGGCTCACCTGACCACTGCCCCCTAGCTCTCCCAGGTGAGAAAGACCTGGACAGGCAGGTTCTTTTCTTAAAAATAGGGACACATTGACATCTGGTGGTGAGAATATTCATTCTTCCTCTGTCTCTGTCCTTCAGTATTCTTTCTCTGTCTCTGTCTCTCTCTCTCTCGTCATTTTTTAGACAGTTGTTTTTAAATCATATTTTTTCAAATACAGTTTAGCAATCATTCCACAAGGTAGCAATTCTTAGTCACAGGCCAGAACTTCAAATCTCCAATTCTTCACCAAGTTCCCATGACTGACTGTGCTGTGGGAATGGTGACTCTGTCACTCCCTCATTCCTACACAGTCCCTGCTAGTGACACACACTTCTGAATGTGTCCCCTAGTGGGTAACTAATCATCAGGACACTTCCACCCAGGTTTACATCTCCAGGACACTTGGAGCTCGTTACAAGTGCAGACATGCAGGTCTCACCTGAGAATCTGCACTTTAACCCCAATCTCCACCTTCTCCTTTGATAGATGGGAAGTATGTTTCCTGGTTAGAGCCTCTCTTTGCTTGTGTCTTTATATGCTATCATTTTCTAGGTTTTTTAAAAAAATTTCCCTCAGCACTTATTAAGCAGCATAAAATTAAAACTGCAAACAACAAAATGCCAAATTCTGGAGAATTCGACTGTTTCCTCTCTAAAAATTATCTGGTGGATTACTTGATGAGTCTTTAGCACATTAATAAAACAGAGAAACTCACTGAGAATGAGGTTGACCAGCGTGTGCTCTACAGGGAGCTCACTGGGGGGCTGAGACTACGCAGCACCATCCGTGCAAACGGTGCTGACCAAGAGCAGCCGCCAGCGCTAGGAATGACCTCCATCGCTGCCCAGCTGGTTAACTCCACACTCACAAAATAAACACGAACTGTGTGGTTAAATCAGGTCGGGGAGATGCTCCTTGTCAATTAGGCTCATTACCAAGGAGCGTAACCAAATCTGAGGAAGACGGGTTTTTTTCTGTCTTTTTTTAAAAAGATTTTATTTATTTTCAGAAAGAGGGAAAGGGAGGGAGAAAGAGGAGGAGAGAACATTAGTTTCTCACCTCTCACACGCCCCCAACTGCTGACCTGGCCCAAAACCCAAGCATGTGCCCTGACAGGGAAACAAACCGATGAGCTTTCGGTTTGCAGGCTGGCGCTCAGTCCACTGGGCCACACTGCCCAGGGCGGAAGAGATGTTTTTACTGCTGCTCTTCTAGTGAGCAGTCCATTCACGATTAAACTGTTCTTGATGAGACGAGCAATATCAAGCTTCCTGCTAGTTGGAGTTTATTTCGGGAACCTCATTGCCCTTTTCTCCTTGCATCCCTGCAGGGTAACTTTTCATTCTGACAATAAACAAGAGCAGGCCCCAGTCACTGCAGGGCCCGGGCCTCCGAGTTGCTCTGCTCAGAGCCGTACACTGTTCGCAACCCACGGTGAGGACCCTGGCAGAAGGCACACACGTTAGGACTTCTGGTGTCAATTAGGCTCCACACCTGTGTGCT